TTCTATCTTATTTATTTGTTTATTTATATATTTATTTATTTATTTAAATGCTTTTATCTTTGAATATCTTGGCCGTCGTAAATCCTTTTTTTATTTGATTCTATTTGATAACACCATCTACCCTTTACATTGTGTGAACAGGTTTTGACTGGTAATTAAATAGATGAGTGGACGTTTGCACAGTACTGTATGTCAGTAAAACAGAGAAATCATCCTGCTAAGCCAGGGGTCGGCAACCCAAATGTTAAGAGCCACTTTGTCCTTTCATCAAAAATCAATCTGCCTTGGGAGCCACAACAGTTTTTGTCCATTTATTAAAGAAATGTTTTCCATCTTGGCTGTAAATATGTCTCAGTATGTGCTAATGTACTAATGTACAGGCTAAAAAATAGAATATAAACAAAAACGCAGACTTACTTTGCTCTGCTTTAAGCTTTAGCTTAGCCATCGCTGCTTTTCTCGCATCTCTGACAGGAAACTTTGGCATAGTTTCTTGTAAAATGTCTCTCAACGTTCAACTGTTTACAAGTCTGAAGTCGCTTCTCATTTGTCACTTGAACAAGAGGCTGGCGAATGAGAAGCTGACTTCAGCTTCGTGACTTTTTAGTGTTTGTCAGTTTCTTGCCGCAGATTAAATGTATCAGAAAACCAGCTGGAGTGCTTATAAAAGTCCACTCGTCTCCAAATTATCAATGTTCATCTTAAATCTTTCTCTTTACCGTTTCATTAGCTACTAGCTAGGTGAGATTGTTGTCTGCATTGCTATGGTGACCAGCAGTCTGAACACCAACCTTCAGGGTTAAAGGGTGAATTAGCAGTTCTACATTAACTCCAGAGTTTAAGACCATTTATTGTTAAAACTGTGTTGAACGACCAGCAGAGCTTTATTTTACTGCAAAGGAGGATTATTTTATTTTTACCTACAAATCTAATTCTGCTGTGGAGTCGCCCTCTGGTCTAGGCCCTTTAATGGAGCTATTATATTGCCCTACAGTAAGTATCAGCAGTTTTCTGTGGCACAAAACAAGACAAACAAGAGTTCCTGTGCTGAGTGAGCACTCTGTAATAACGGCCATGAGAGCAGACATGGGCTCCCTCAGGGCCGGCTCCAGGGGGTTGCAGTCGCAGGCAGACACACTTGCACCATCCATAGCTGCAAATGGCATCAGAGCCCGTCTCCACAGGGAAAGGAGCCTTGCAATGCTAACGTTTCAACATGGAAGTGACCTGATGTCACATCTGCCACCTTTCCAGGCCTCGAGCTTAGGGCTCCTCTGTGCAATCAAACACCTCGAACATGCAGAACGGCTTGAAAAACTGTTCTGCTTCAGCTGCAGGACCTGCAGGCCTCCAACCTTCAAACACCCAAAGCTTCCAGCAGATGGCTTCTATTTGTTTCATCTCACAAATATTTGTGATTAGCATTGACAGCTTTTTTGTATATAAAGCTTTTATAACCATGGCGAGGCTGGTGTTTGTGGAGTTGTTTATGTTTCACATTGTTTAGATCAGTAGCATTAATCTGCAATGGACTTTGATTGGGAATGTTTACAAGCAATAAAAACCTCCATAAAACAGAATAAATGCAGGAAAGCATGAGTTTGGATTTAGAAGCCATCTTGCCTTTGGGCCATCCTGTCTGTGCTCCTACATGAGATGGCTGGAAACCACATTCAGCCTCAGATGAAAGTGTGTGTCACATGATTACAAGCAGTGTTGCTCTTATTGTTAATTACACAGCAGCTAATTCTTCAACATTAGAGAGTAGGGGTTAGGCGGTACCCACCCGGAAACCACTGGAGTGGGTTCTGTGGTTGTGCCCCACCAAAGCGGCCGAAAGGTCTTCATTATCAAACACAATGTGCCATATTAAGCTCTGATTACAAGCAGACTCAGTTGTTAAGCCCTACTCAGACAGAATTAACGTTACTGCTATTCTCTGTAAATATTACACTGAGAAATGCAATGCATTGAGTTTACTTGATTGAAATGTGTACAGCATGTACACACACACACACAGTGTAAAGTCCAACTGGCATTTTCAACAAATGCAAATGAGTGATAGATATGTTTATAGCAGAACCACCCTCTATTTATGTAATTTCCAATCAAAACAACCATTATTTTTTCTTTTGCGGCTTCAGAAAAGACATGTTTAACAGAAAATTGCACAGATGCATCACCAACTAAATATAATATAATTTTTTTCAGTATTCAGTGTGTACTACAGCTTCCATTCATTTCAGGATACTTGTTTGCAGTTTTTCAGAGAAATATGCAGGGATATTTTTCCACCTCCAAAGTTCAGTCTTAGACGTTGGTTACATTTTGTGCTTCTTATAATCCAAGCAAACCCAGTTACACATTCTTGTGTTCAGTCTTCTCAGAAATGTCTCATGAAAATTAATAATGGTGGTTTTGCCTGCAAATTAATATACGGTCATATGCAAAAGTTTGGGCGCCCCCAGTCAAATTATGTTTTTTGTTTTTCCGGATGAAAATAAGTTCCTCTACACAGAACACATTTTTGCACATAATACACAATTGCTGTTTATTTGCTGAATTTAACATATTGGGAGAAAGTAAAACATAAAATGTGGACTTATGGAACATTATATGTAATGTTTTTATCTGATATGATAAAATTAGCAAATAAATAGAAACTGTGAAGTAAAATGAGCAGAGTAATGTCATTTTTCTGCTACAGAAGATGAGCTACAGGACCTGTTTCCACCCAGACAATAAACAAAACATGCCATTTGACCAAGGGTGTTCAAACTTTTGCATACGACTGTACATCAAGTGTACAACAGCTGCCCTTTACATTGTGTAAAAAGTTCATAATGAATGGACCAATACAAATTCTCCAAAATGATGAGGAGGAAAATCTTTTTACATGGCAAGTTCAGAATGTTTTTCCTTATCCTGTAAAGTTAATGCTCTAAAAGCATGAAGAAATATATATATATGTATACACATATGCTTTCAAGAAGAATATATATATATATATATATATATATATATATATATATATATAATATATATTATATATATATAATACATGTAGTATTATGTATATACTATATATATGTAATATAGTGATGTTATATATTTTATATTTTGTCATATTGGGCTAAATTCAATGTAATGCTTTTTTTAGTGTGCCGCACTTGGATATCATTGTAAGCATTGTATTATGTGTACATAAAAATTTCAGCAATTTATGTGCTATGTAGTTTCCTCAGGTGTGGGAGGAAGAGGGATGGGGGGCTTTATATTTTTAACATAAAAATATAACCTAGTTTCCGAATTTGCAGTGATTTCATTTTCACCACCCTGAACCCTCTGGCTTCCGCTAATCAATACGACAGGAATCAGATTACCTCGTTTAGGACATGGATATTTACTCTGCTTACTTATTTACTTGCTTTGAGGTCAGTGATCAAGAGGTAAATTACTATACTTCCTCTGAATGGAGACTTTCATTTAGAATAAATATCTTCCGAACTTTGCTTTTGTAACAGAACTGCTTCTTATTTGTCATTAAAGACTGTACAGTACAATACAAAACAGTCCAGCATGTTGGGCCTTCTCCTCTCCGTCTCAGCCTCAGCTCTTGCTCTCTTAACAGCATTAAGCTTCTTAGTGCATTTTTCGGGGGTTGTATGGAGCGTACTGTGGGGTCATGATATATGAGCTGACACAATTGCATGTGGAGTCCATTTGAACATGTGGCTCCAATGAAAGTTAATGCTGTGCCAGTACTGTAGCACTCAGGAGCCACTCTCTCTGTATGTGTACGTGCACTTGGACGGTATCAGTGGACGGTTTCGTAACCCTTCTGTTGTGTGAAGTCAAAATGTTGAACTAAATGATAAGTTACAGTAGAAACCCCCCATGCACACGCACACGCACACACACACACACACACACACACGCACACATGCCAGAATACAGACACATATGTGCAGGCCCTGGCCAGTAAAGGTTTAAAATGACTGTCTGCCTATGCTCTGCTCATTGTTCACTGGCCAATAGCAGGCAAGGCTTCCTCACACACCCATTGACCGTCTCCCCAAATTAAAATAATGTTCTTCGAGACATTCTCTCACTCTGTGGAGCAGACTGAGCCGGTCAGCGGGGACCTGCTTATTCACAGCTGCTGCTGGAAGGCCTTGGCTTCAGTGCCGGGCAGTGTTCTTTTGGATAGGGCAGACTGTACTGAGATCAATTAAATAAACAATGACTGTGTATTTATGAATGAGATCAAAAAACATAAGTGGGCGATTGTAAGTAGGTATGTAAGACAGTGGAAGGATAAACAATGTCCTGTGCTGAGTCTGTCACTTGTGTGGGTGTATTTTTTAAAATTGTTATTAATAAAAAATGATTTCCATTTTTTATCATTCTAAAGGCTTTCTATGGCCTTTGATATGGACCTATGTGTGGGTTGGAACCATGCCGGCAATGATTAATACAGTAGCTTTAAGTCTTTACTGTGAAAAAAAAAAAGAAAAAGAATAATTCCGAGTTAATTAAACTTCTAATTGTAAAATAAGAGTCCTACATTTATTTGAAGTTCAACAAAACAGTGTTTACAGTGGTTTCATATTTGCTCTACTGAATCTGAATGTTGGCTCCTCCGTTAATGAATATGCGGATTTCTGCCTTATTGATCAGTTCCCGTTTTAGGAGGGGGCAAAGGACAAAACCGTCAGAACTCGAGCGCGTGAGAACGTATCAGTGCTCTCAGTGCGAAATAATTAATAATAAGTGATAAATGACAATTATTCACAACGTGATATGAACAAACATGTTCACATTCCCCATTTCACCACGTTCATTCCGTGCGTTTTTATCGTCAGAATTAAAACGCTCGTTTCTGTATGAATATAAATAAGACGGGGCTGGATAAGCCCCGCCCAGCTCCGCCGCAGCTGGCCAATGAGACGCGAGTTATTTGCACGCGGTCCTGCTTGGAGCATAAAGCCACGCGGCTCAGAGCTGCGGACCGCTACAAACTTCTCCGTACTGACATCTGCAGGGGCTGCCGGGCTGCACGCTGACCACTGACCACTGGACTAAAAAAAACTTCACAACCGCAACTGAGCCACTAAAAAATAACCGCTAAGCACTTAAAGTAGGAGAACATGGGGAAGGAAAGCGCTTTTTTGCTCGTTATCTGGATGCTTTTTGCAAGCACCTTCTCCAGCTATGCAACCACAGCTGAACCGGTAGTTGAGGCAGACACTTTCAGTAAGTATTCACTTTTTCATTGTTTTCACTTCTCCTCAGCCACAGACGGACTGATCTGTGCTGCTGGATCATGCTGCACTCCTCCTCTCTTCAGACCTCTGTGCCAAGCAGAGGATTCAGACTCAAAGCTGAGTCACCATTCTGAGGACCAGCCCTTACTCAACATGTGTGCCTCAGCTTTATGCCTTTTATAACTCGAACCGAGTCTGAAGTGTCTTTACAAGTCACTTTCACTTGTGCATGTAGTGCAGATTTGCAGTAGCAGAGATCCTGATTTGAAATGAGCACGAAAAAAAAGGGAGCGACTGTTTTAGAGAGAGAATTCAACGTGATGCTCGCTTTACCAGCCTTTTTATGTCTGATGCATGCAAACTTTTTTACTTGCATGTCTTTTTAGAATTGCATTCTATGTATAACGAATATATATGCATGCAGGATGGCTCGGTTTTGTGTGTAATAAACATTATTATTACCTCATAAATGCAGAAAAAGTTTACCTATTTTTGGCCTTTTTTGAGGTCATTGAACTGCAAATAATAAGTTAACAGAGTGTAAAACAGATGATTGATATGTTAACTTACTTTTAGAAGTCTTACGCACTGAAAAGTTCAAGGGAACCAGTTGTTGCACACTTGTTGACGTTAAAATATTGAATTAGTTTTTACAGTTTGGGTATTTAAAGGACTAAAATTGCAAGTCAGGGCTTAAATTCTGATTTGAAAAAATAAACAAGCTTTAAATCTTTATTATAATTCTGTTGTCATTTATTTGCACAGGCAACATCACAGCAAACTCTACAGACTGGATGGTGGACTTTAGTGACATTGAATCCAAGTTTTCGCTAAGAACCAGCGATGAACCCGAAGATGACCTGTGCTACATAGTCCCAGGACAGCGGGAAACTATTAAAGAGTGCAATTTCAATCCGGACAGCAAAACTTTCATAGTCATTCATGGATGGACGGTGAGTTAATTACAGATCATACATGTTTGTTCCTAAATTCATTTATTGTTTAATTCAAACTCTCAAATCAGAATTCCTGATGCACACTGATATACTAAGCATATATCACTGTAAATGAGGGAGACTACCAAACACTGACCAGCCTGCCCTGTGTTTAGGTCACTGGAATGTACGAGAGCTGGGTTCCTAAGCTGGTGACGGCGTTGTATGAACGTGAACCAACAGCCAATGTCATTGTGGTAGACTGGCTCGTCCGGGCCCAGCAACACTATCCAACCTCAGCTGCCTACACCAAACTGGTGGGCAAAGATGTGGCCAAGTTCGTCAACTGGTTACAGGTCAGTTGGAAATGTTAACACGTGTCGTGGTAGTTCTATAGACATAACCAGCTTTAGTGCTGCTGTCATAACCAAGCCTCATGTTTCAGAAATTGTAACTCACATTTAATGTACTTTAATGTAAACAGATTATTTTGGACCACTTATTTTGGCTCGTTGGTCATGAAATGTTTACATATGAAGAACTGCTGCAGTTTCAAATGGTGTAAAAACAATAAAAACTGAAAAATATGCATGATTTTGATATGACCAATGATGTTTTACATAGGAATATGTGCGCATGCAAAGAGGTATTTATGTATATATGTAGATAAACAGATATTCCTTTTTGGGCTCCGTCCATGTAAAATATTGTCTAATAATGATCTCTTTGTTTGCTCCCTATAGGCTGAACTTGAGTACCCATGGGAGAAGCTCCATATCCTGGGCTACAGTCTTGGTGCTCACGTAGCTGGGATTGCAGGACTCCTCATGAGAAACAAAGTCAACAGGATCACAGGTGAACAGAACTGTCTGTATGACATATAATCATATTGTTGGTCTAAATTGGCTTGTTTAATCTTTTGGTGTTATAGTGGTTACAGTCAAGCTATAGTGGGCTACAGTGAGCTGGTGCATCAGCAGCTATTCAGCTATTACATTAGTTAGTGTCCCTCATTGACACGTCTTTCTTTGTTTGTGACTTCGTCCAGGTTTAGATCCAGCCGGCCCAACCTTTGAATATGCAGATGCCCAAAGCACGCTTTCCCCTGACGATGCCCTGTTTGTGGACGTGCTTCACACCAACACGCGTGGCTCTCCCGACCGCAGCATCGGCATCCAGAGACCTGTGGGGCATGTGGACATCTACCCCAACGGAGGAACTTTCCAGCCTGGGTGTGATCTGCAGAACACCATGATGATGGTGGCTACCACTGGCTTGAGAAGTGAGTTCTTGTCTTCTGTGTAGCTTTCATTACAAGCAGTCTGACCACAGCTGGCTGAAGAACTCTTTTCCTATAAGCTGAGACAGCAGAGAATGCAAACATTGAAAAGCCTAATTAAGTGCGTAGTAAGGCAGAAAATGCTATCATGGCTGTTAGTGAATGGAAGCAAATAGGCAGCAGTTTCCCACTCTTACTACCTTTTTCTACCCCTTTAATACCACAGCTGCCCTCAAGGGCTCGTATCATGGAGAAACAAAATTCCCATGGTCAAGTTTGCCTCCCAGTCAATACAGTCTATACATGCAAACCAAAGTCAGCATGGACACTGCAATTGAGCTCTGCCCATTCACGCTGAAGAAGGAATGTTTCAGGATGGACAGCTTTTTAATGGGGCACAGTACAGGGCAGCCAATCAGAGCAGAGATCATTTACATATATTTGTCTTAGAGACACAGAAAAAAACAGTGTTAATTCTAAGAGACGTAAAGAGGTTGTAAAATGAGCATAAAAATAAATTACAACTGTTCTTTTGTGCATAAAATGCAAATATCCTTTAAGCAGAGGTCCACTTATAACTTATAATTGCCTTTTCCTTTAAGAACAATCCAAATATGTAGAGTACAAACACTGAAAGGCAAAAAAATCTTTCAGTGGCAAAGTGGAAGCTACTTTGCTTCCTCATATAATAACAACACTAGTTGAACTGTACATTAGTAATTAATCCTTTCTTGTTTTTCTCATTTCTTTCTCAGACATGGACCAGATTGTGAAGTGTTCCCATGAGCGCTCCATCCATCTTTTTATTGACTCGTTAATCAACATGGAGCAGCAAAGCATGGCCTACCGCTGCAGCTCCAAGGAAACCTTCAACAAGGGGGTGTGCCTCAGCTGCCGGAAGAACCGCTGCAACAAGGTGGGCTACGACGTGACCAAAGTGCGCAGCCGCAGGAGCAGCAAGATGTACATGAAGACCAGAGACATGATGCCATACAAAGGTAGGGAATAAAATACTGGTTTTCTATAATGGTGAAAGTGAAAGATATGGTTCTAGATTAATGGAGCGCTAGCTGTTTCTTCAGATTCCATGTCTGATTCTTGCCAAAAATTGCCTTTTATAACAGTTTTGGTACCAAAACACTGCGCATGCTAGTCTGTACCAAGTGTGCCACATGAGTAATAGCTCATCACAGTGATAGTGATAGTGGTACATGTTTTCCGTGCTGTACTGGTCCAGGTTCAGGATAGTCTGTTTGTAAAAATAGACATGGGAAGGGTCCGGGTTAGGGGGTCGGAAAATGAAGATTTGTTTTGAAAGAGGACACTGTTGCATGTGACTACCTGTGAAAAAATTAACTTCATAACAAATAAATCTGGCACGTCGGGTTCAAAGTTCTGTACCGACATGAGGTCAGTATAGGGGTCGTCACGTATAGGGATTTTTGGCTGTAATGGTGCAGCACTGCACTGAAAGGCTTCTTTGGAAACAGAAGCACCTGTGCCACATCAGCTGCACAGTAAAGGCTGCGTGTCTGGAGGAGTTTCCTTTCAAGTTTTTCCTTTCAAGTTTTTCCTTAATGGACGTTGCAGGTGTTTCCATCTCAGTTTCTCACACTGGCCATGTCACCAAAAACTCTTTCTAAATATAACATTTTCCTTCCTGCAGTTTACCACTACCAAGTAAAGGTCCACTTCTTCAGCCAGAGCAAGATAAGCTACACTGACCAGCCCATGAAGATTTCCCTGTACGGCTATGCTGGAGAGAAAGAAAACATTCCCTATGTTATGTAAGTTTTAAGTTATGTAAATGTAAAGTCTTCAGGATAAGATAAACATCACCAATTGTTGCTAACAATGGCACCCAAAAAAGAAGCTTCCGGAGTGTTTCTGAGAATAAGGTGTTTGAGCGGCTGTATGTGCTCCATTAATTATGCCACATGTTTCCTTTCAGTCAAATAGAGTAGAGACAGCATATGCAGACTTTGTTACCTCATAATGTAGTTTATTTAATATTAATATATTTTGATATATTGTCAGTTTAATGTTAATATATTTTGAACTTCCTTGGTTCCTTATTTTGAGGATCGTGGTGGTAACGGTGGGTTTGGTTGTAGTAATGGTGGGTTTTTATAATTATTTAGGCCTACTATGAACACCAACACCACTGTGTCGTTCTTGCTGACCACGGATGTGGACATTGGAGAGCTGATGATTGTGAAGCTGGTTTGGGAGAAGGATACAATCATCAGCTGGCCTTGGTGGAATCCCGACACCTTCCATATCCGCAAACTACGCGTCAAATCCGGAGAGAGACAGTCCAAGTAATCATTTATTTACTTGCAATACATTGAGGCTTTACCCTAAGCTAATTTAAGTGTGTGCTGAAGTTTGAACACCCCCTGTCAAATTAAAAGTTTGAAGCAAAAGCTATACAAGCTACACTCCCACTCATTTTCATGGTTGTGAATAACACATCTTAGGGTTAATAACTGAATAATAAGCCTATTTTTCAAGGCATTAATGGGTGTTTCCTATTTCAGAGTGATCTTCATTGCTAAAGAAGGTGAGTTTTCCTACCTTGCCCGTGGAGGGGATGCTGCTGTGTTTGTGAAAGACAAGGAAGCCCAGTCGAGCCAGAAAAATGAAAGGTAATGCCACATTTCCATTTTTTGTTGACCTCCTAATTAAAGGTATATGCATTTGTTTGACTGTTTTCTTACATTGCTGCTGGCAGGTTGCAGAAGCTGAAGATGCGTGGCAGTTCCTTCAAGAAGAGCACAGAATAGAGCGGCACTTGCAGAGTCACCCTTTTGCCAGAGCCCGAGACGAGCCTGCTGGGAACTGGACTGGTAGAGACTGCGCGGTTTCTGTATGTTCCGATTCCAAGCCTGTCATTGAATAGTAGCAATTAACACAAAAGATCCTCATCCATAAGCACATCCTGCAAGGAACTGTACTCTTTTAACTTTTAACTGCTGAGCAGTTTTCAAATCGAAAAGCCACGTCTAATACCGCTCAGTATTTTTTTTTCCTTTCCTCAAAAAATGTGATAATCAAAGGTCACTGAAGCCTAAAGCACTGCAAGAAGGTGATCTGGAAAAATTGTAATGCTATTGCACCTCCTTCAATGGCAGTTCAGTGGCTGAATCATGGAAGGATGCGATCCTGATCACATCTCTTTGGCTATGAAATATTTTTTCAAATGAAAGATAGAAGTCTTATTGTTATGCAATATATATGTACTTATATGTAAGTAAACTCTTACACTGTTATAACGTGTGTACTGAATCTCTGTCTGCTTTGGTCAAACCAAAGCACGGTTAATAAACAATGCAACGCTCGCGCGGAAGGCAAAGTGGGAGTCACGTTGAGCTGCACTTAGTCAACAGGGTTTCTTTAGGTTTACCAAAGTGCCCCTGACTGGGTCTGAGATGACCACTGCTTTGACTGACCCGCCATGAAGGAAATATAGAAGGGTCTTTATATTCTGTCGATAAGTATCACACTAGACCTACCTAAATAGCTAGAAAAGTCAAATGCTGAGTGTTCCCTAGCACATTGAAGCAGTTGATAATGCTAAGTAAAGATTGCGTATAAAGGAGAGTGGTCATATTGACGTGCTATAGGGGCATAACCTGCTGTTACACTGGGTATTGTTACAAAAAACACTGGGAGAAAAAGGGGAAAGCATTTAAAACTCAGATTCAAGGTTTTCTGTTGGAATTTAGCCCCTTAAACTCCAGACTTCTTATTCAGTTATTAACATTTCTGCATAAAACAATTTCTGAGATGTAAAGTCATTTAGTCATTAATAGTTTGTATTTTAGAGAAACTTACCAATTAGGGCTGAAAAAAAAGGCGAAAAAAATCTAATTGCGATTTTTCAGACTAATATTGCAACTACGATTTAAATTGCAATTATTAATTTTTATTAATTGAGACCAGAATCTGCCTTTTCTGGCTTGATGTTTGTGAAGTCACAACTCAGGCAGGTTTGTTGGTACCGACTGGTCTACTTTAGGCGGTTCACAAGCTCTGCTTTAAAAGATAAAATTTCCCACTTAAAACTTAAGACAACATTTTTTGATAAAGTACAGTACAATTATTGAAAACTGCACTGCATTGCATTGTGATTTCAATATAAAAATGATTAATCATTCAGCCCTTTTACCAACTCTGATACTAAACAGTGGTGGTGATAGGAACCAGAGGTTGTGGCATCTACAACCCATATATATATATATATATATACATATTATTTACTATTAAAATGACCAGTAAACTTGTAGAACCTGTCTTCTAAATATAATGTAGATGATGGTAAATTAGTGCTAAATCTGAAAAAAGACTTTTTGGGTACTATTTTGCCTTATATTGTCCCATATTATCTACTATCAACATTGCTGTGAACAAATGATTTACATCTTAACAATTATGTTATGCAGAAAGTTTGACAAATTGCTGGAATTCCCCTTTAAGACTTTTCATTCAGTAACTATTATAAATTCTTCAGTAACTACACTGAAACTAATATGTAGGTTATGTAATTATGAGTGTGAGGAAAGTAAGTTGGGAAACACCTTCAACTCTGTGGAGTTTAAGGGGCTAAACTACATTTCTCTTTATTTGTACTGTTTGGTGGCACTATGATCCTTCAGATCTACCTACACATCTTTTCCACCGAAACCTGCCAGCTAACTAACACTAATGTTCTTTGAGTGGTTCACCACAGACAGCTCCAACTCGATTCTACCCACAGGAGCGTATTTTTCTGATTCCACACAGGAGTCAGTGTGTTGACCACTATTGGACCAAATACTCTCTCAACTAAATCTATGTATGGAAATGATTCTTGTAAATATTTTTTAATTGCCATATATCCCAAAATGTCAATTCTATATCTCAAAATGTCTACCTTTCCACTTTATTTTGTCTGTGTTTGGTTATTGTGTTTGGCACAGGTCACTTTATAGATGCAAACCGTTTAAGTCATCATTTAAAGCCACAATCAGAAGCCAGTTTGCTTTCGCCAGGCGCATATGTTTCCAATAGAACGTTGGAGAGTTCACCTTATAGATGCCTAATTTCTCAAATACTGTGAACCAAAATAGGACTAGCATTGAATTGTGGCTGATTGTGTAATTGGCTGGTCAGACCTTTGTGAATGTAAGGAGGAACTCCTGATTCATTCAGTATTTTAGGAGGTTTTTATTATGAAATCCTTTAATATGTAAACTGTGAGAAGTCGTTAACACCCTGCATTTTGATTATTGCCAAACAGTATCCCAAATTTCAGAATTTATTTTTAGAGACAGTCTGCACAATTGTGCAAAATCAAATTGCCTGTTTAGTTGCGACAAACCCTGATTGGTCAGTTGCCCCTTACAGTAGCCATAAGCTCCATTTTCAAGCAAAGATCAGAAATAAACAAGGCCGTTGAAATGGATTGCCCCACATAATAGCCATAAACACCACAAGATTATTTATTGAATGTATATATTTGTACATTGGGCTTGTATGCTGCCATGTTTATGTTTCTCTCTATCTCTTTCTATGTGAGTTATGCATATCCGCTCTATTTTTATAAACAACTGAGTATAAATAATACAGATTGCTTGGGGGGGGGGTTCTAATTGCCTTTTGAATTAGTTAATTCATCATATTAATACACTATGCACTGTATAAAAATGATATTTTAATAAACAGAGTATGTTACATATCTCCAGTGTATAAACGTTCTCATTTGTCTTACATTATCAGAGGCACTTCACAATATATAAAAAAAAACAGTAAAAAAATCCATATTTTCAGCAATAACAGTATGTTTAGCTAGTCGCTTTTCTTATGCTTTAAATGAAGGTCAAAAAGCACGTAAGTGCATGTAGACTTTGTAATGACACGGACCTTAAAATTGAACCTACCATTTAACACACTGATAGCTGTGTAGAGGGCTGTGTGTAAGCTTTTATTAGGCCCAGCTTGGCTGCCGTTATTCAGTATATAGTCTCATTACAGAGAAAATAAAGTCAAGCTGGGCTCAGTGTTTTCAGGGGCTCAATAGAAGTACAACAGAGGTAGAAGCAGGACATCATAATAAAATGGCTCGTAATCTTTTAAAAGAGGTCACTGACAGACATTCGTCAGTGTTGTTAATAGAGCAGTTTCACAGAACCAGCCACACCATTTTTTCTCAGATTTGTTGAAGCCCTGCTGAAAAGTCCAGCACAGGCCAGCAAGCATTCCACGCTGGTCTAAGCTGGTCTAGTGCTGATCTGGTTCTGGTTTAGCTGGTCACCCCAGGGTGGGCATGCTTGTTGACCAGCATACCAGCATTGAAATACAATATATCACTGTTGTCTGAACAAAATCTTGTATCTCCATTTTTGACGTTTTTCAGTTTTTGAAAAATCTGTTGACCTTTGCACTGTGTGTAAATTTCATGATGAATGGACCAAAAGAAATGGCCCAAAAATACTTGGAAAAAAAGTCTGGTTCCATTGACTTACATTAAAAGTAAAGTGTGTTTTTTCCTTTTCTGTAAATTTATAATTTTGGAGATGTGACGTTCTGTTCTGACAACAGCAATAGGCTGGTTTTGCTGGTGACCAGCCATGCTGGTCTATCCTGTTTTTAGCAGGGAGGAGACATATTTTGCACTTTTATTGTATTTTAATTACCTATAGTTCCATGTCCCTGTTAGAAGCAACTGTGAAAAGTAGACAAGACCAGTTCAGTCTTTATATGATGTGCTTTTACCTGCTTATTTATTCCTCTGTTAAGATCTTTTTATGGGTGTTAATTTTGTATGTCCACTGCAAATTTAATCACTAAATCATGAAAATGTGCCCACAAACAGGTCAACACACAGTATTGTTCAGTGCAAAAAACTAATTCATTTTGTAAGCTTTTTCTTACCCATTTTCTCCACCAGTAAGATAATGCTTGTTTCAGCTAAGGAGTTCAATGCTATGTTAGCATCAAGCTAATGGTGGTTCATTTGCATTACACAGCAGCTCCCTAGACAAAACACAGACATTTGGGGCTCAAAACAGACATATGCTTTACTTTGGAAATACAGCCCTACTGAAAAAGGATCATTAGAAACCAGTAGGTTTAAAACCTAATACTTTTATGTTCTAATAAGAATTGGCTTAATGGTTTGCTCTAGAACTAGAGACCACTAGTTTCCTGTAGAACACCTTTAGATCCTAATAGGTAACCATCAAATGCATTTAATATCACCCATTGGTCACCTGTTAAACCATTACATTGTGATATCAACCTATCAAAAAAGCCAAAACACATCAGGAACCGACAGAAACACTTAATGGTTTCTATGGTTTTTTCAGCAGGGGGTTTGGATGTTGACTTCTTCAGTGAAGATTTAAACTCGAAGCCTGTCTGTGAATATTGCTGTAGCCGGTTAGCTTAGCTAAATGCCCAGCTTCCTCAAGTGAGGACAGAATATGGACCAATTAGCCCACAATTAGCCTGTTAGCATCAGTGAGATGAGTCTGCTGAATGAGTCACTAACACAGAAATGTAATGTTTGTGATATTTATGACATGACAACTGTCTTGTTCATTGAGGTTTGTATGTGAAACAGCAGCTATGACAGTCAAAGTAAGCAAATGCTAACAGCCTGTAGAAGCATTTCTGTGAAGCTCCAGAACAGCAGAAACTTCACATTTCTCGGACGGTACAGTGATAAGTTATGCATATTTGAGCTTGCTAGGAATGTGCAGTTTTGTTCACTAGGTCCTCTTTTGTTAAAAGAAAATAGGAAGGAAACTCTTAGATTTCAGTAAAACTTATTTGCTAGCTGTTGACAAAAGTGATACTACAGATAATAATGCTACTTTATTGCCATATGTATTCCTAAATATATTACTTTACCTAGAGTGGTGTGCAAAAGTCAGAGACCACCATTTATTTACTTTATTTCTAGTCAAAACAACCATTAAGTAAATTTCTGATTAGATTAGATATAAGATAATCCACTTGCATAAGGCAAAAGTCAAGGGTGTTCAAAAAGTGACTAAAAACTACAGAGAAAAGGGGACCCCTAACAACCACCTGGAAGACCTGGTAGACACCAAATATGTCCCCATCAGACAAACAGCACTTCAAGCTTTCAGCTTTGAGAGAGAGCAGAAAATCAAGCTGCTTCAGATCTGAAAAACATCCACAGGTGTTTCTGTCCATCCTTCCACTGTGAGAAGACGACTCAGCGCTGTGGGTCTGAAAGGATGTGTAGCTGTCAAGAAGAACCTCACTGAGAAAAGGAGACGGACACATCAAACAAAGAAGCTGAACAATGGACTGACCACCCCAGAGTCCAGACCTCAACATCACTGAACGTGTAACTGAGATTATTTGGATTGTGAGAAGCAAAAAAAGCAACCAAATTCTGAGACTGAACTTTCCCTGCAGATTATCCCTGCAGATTATTGAGTGTTCCAAAAAGAACCAAAAAGACTCCAAAATAGAAGCTGGAACGCAATGTCTGGACACACTAACTACTGAAAAAACTGATATTCTTCTTTTTTTTTTACACTAAAAATGAATAAATTTTACTCAAAGGTACTTTTTTGTTATTTTAGGGACATTTGGGTGCCTTGTAACCATTGTAGAACACAAACAAACACACAGACACACAGTAATGTCTCATTTGTTATTGATTATCACAATTCTTCTCAGTCACGTTCTTTCAGCAATCTCTCTCCACAACAGTAGAAGTAGGAGGTAATTCTTGGCATAGACATGCTTGTGTCTTTCAGAGGGGTCTAAGCTAAATGGAATTCTGAGAAGGCCAGTGAGGGAGGTTTTTGGAGCAGTCTCAGGTCCTGGCGAGGTCTTGATGTTTGGCTCGAAAATAAAGCCCCCGAAAGGCCACTTGCTTTTTGCAATACAAGTTGATGCAGATCTGCATGCAAAAAGCAACACCACCCCAAACCCAGCCCAGCCAATCAAATGGCTCAACTGTGCTGGATGTAAACACAGCAGGACACACATGCTTTTTCCACTGAATCTGTTTTTCAAGCTGTTTTTCTTTTTCGTGGAAAAGAGGAAACTCACTCTGAGAATGAAAACACTCCACAGCTCATGGAGGTGGGATAGGATCCCACTCTGATCTGAGCCACTTTAAAACTAAACTGAGTGCGACCAAGCAGGGCTGTTTCCGAACATTTGGGGGCCCTAAGCGACACTTCACTCACCATCCTATTATTTTGTATGGAAAAATGAAAAAGAATTAATACCACAGTTCATTTTGATCTGGAAAGAAGTTTCATCAGTGCTGAGGTAAACATAATAGAAATGTTTAATTATATACTGTAAAACAACTAAACATCAGAAGCTAACATCAATTCAGACATAACTGGAGAGAAATGTTTTGTATTACATTATAATCTTATTTAAAATTGTCTGACAAAATAAAGAGGTGTGTCCGATAGTCTATGAAAAATATGTGCTTTTTAAAAAAAAACAACTTCTCCCGTTTTGTTTGTTATATACATATTGCCATGAATGTAGGGAAAGTCCATGAAGCATGCGTATCAAGTGACCTCTGTGGAAGTCCACATTATCTCCTTCAAGGCCTAGATGAATGACAAAATTAGAGTGCAGACTTTCTGTTAAATCTGCATGTTTGCAAGTCCAGAGAAGATTTAGTTTGGGCAGGAGTCGGCAACCCAAATGTTAAGAAGAGCCATTTTGTCAAGTTTCAACAAAAATCTAACCACCTCGAGAGCCACAACATTTCATGTCCATTTTATTGAAGTAACATTTTACCATCTTGGCTGTAAATATGTCTCAGTACGTGCTAATGTCCAGTGTAGGCTAAAAAACATAATAAAAACAAATTTCCAGACTGTGCACTGCTTTAAGCTTTAACTCAGCTAGCCGATAGCTTTTCTCGCATCTCTGGCAGGAATTTGTTGCTAATTTATTGCTAAACTGTGTTGAACGATCAGCAGAGCTTTATTTTACTTCAAAGGAGGATTATTTTATTTTTACCTAAAAATTCTGCTGCGGAGCCACAACAGAACAGTAAAAGAGCCGCATGTGGCTGCGGAGCCGCATGTTGCCAACCCATGAGTTTGGGCATCAATCTACAACAGTAGACATCAACACTTCTCCACCTTCAACTTTTCTGCAGAGTTCAGACTACGATCCACAGGAGGATAGGTCTCAAGGACCAGGGTTGGTTGACCACCCACTGGTCTACACACTCTTAACCTAGATGCTAGTTAGCCACTTCAGTCACTAGCTTTGTCCATTTGAACTACAGCAAACTTAATATTGGGGCAAGAAAACTGCCAGAAATGCTACATCAAGCTAGTTAGCATGCATTTCTTACCTGCGTTTTGGGGCTGTTTCCCAGGCATATCTCTAACTTGGGTACCAAATGCATTCTCCACATTTTCAGACCACAGTGGATTTCCTGAAACATGGACTGCTTGCAGGGTCCCTAAGTAACAACTTACACCACTGCAAGGATAATGGTGAGCAACATACAATGGCTGTCCAGCAAAAAGCAGTTTTGTTGCAATGGCATTCCCAACCTGCAAGGATCTCTTATTGCAATAGCACTCTCTAGAGCAGTGGAGAAGTGTGGAAACTCTGGAGGCTGGACAGCTTCCATGGGCATGTTTCTGCAGGGAAGCATGTGATCTTGACAGGTGACATTACATCCACTGCCCAAACAAAGTACGTATGCT